GTAGCTACTTTTTAGCCCCTACTAGTGAAACTCCAGGATATATATATTTCTACATTCTACGATATATATCATATGCTTGTTTGGTGGAATTAAAACATTGTAAAAATGTCAAATGATAATATCAAAGAAGAAAAAGGACCAGGAATTTTGGATGAGAATTATATTACTTTTTTCCTCTGGGATTATGTGACTTCAATCAGAATTTTTTTTAGTTGACGACAAAAATCATCCAAAGGATCTATAGTCAGAGGTGAACCTACCCTTTGGATAGGGTTACCATACCCCGATAACTTCGGAATATATATATATATATATATATATATTGATTGACACCCTAAGTTTACTAGTTGATTTGGGGTACAACTTGACTTTTATTAAGCTGTTTGGGTTCGATTTTGTCTTTAGCATTTGCTAAAAATAAATTTCGGTAATGGTGCCCCATTTGGATCCGCGTCTATCTATAGTTACTGTTTGGTTGGGATTTGGGAAGGCGTGACCAACGTGCTTAATTATATAACCAAAGTGAGCATATTTCATGTTGATATCACCAAAACTTTTTACCAGCCTTACTTTACTGCTTTTAGGGCTAACCATTATATTGAGTTTTCTAAATTTTGACCATTTCCTATCAATTTAGACCCTTTACAAAAAATATATATATATGTACTTTATTTTATATGATGATATTTAATTGAATATGAAATCTAAAGAAATTAAAGACTTTTAACCCGTATAAAAATATTCTTATAATTTGCTGTTCAAGAGGATATGTTGTTAAGGATAAAATAAGAATCTATTTAAATTAAACTGAAAAATTCTCAGAGATGTCATTTTTCTTGAAGTAGAACAAAAAGAAAAAAAAGTATCATATGTATAATTTTTGTAAGTACTCTATAAAATCAAGAAATAAGAAAATGGCATGTTCTTTTGTCATGCTTTCTATTAGTTGTACAAAAATATGCCGTCTCAAGAGCACAAGTGAAAAATCTTTAAGATTAATTTCTACACTACTTTCATATAGTGTAAATATTTTTCATATCATCACAGTATCATTTTAACCAGTGGTGAAGCTAGGAATTTTTCCAAGGGTGTTCAAATTTAAAAGAAGTGGAAATTTTTTTCGACAAAGGATGTTCAATATGTGTTATATACTTCTAAAACGTAATATTTTACTTATGTACACATTGCAATTTTTCAACGAAGGGTGGTCAATTGACCACCCTTAACACCATGTGGCTTCGCCACTGATTTTAACATGCGATAATAGATGTCTTTCTTATTTTCAAGTTTCAACTAACTAATTTCACTTATTATGAATAATTATCTAACGGTTTTTTTTTTTTAGATAACGTGATATATAGTATAAAAATTCATTTGCGATGTGTCATACCTACTGATATTTCTTGGATGATTTGTACAGAGATGGGAACAATGGTGGCTGAGGCAAGGACTTGTGAGTCCCAAAGCCACAGATTCAAGGGTCCATGTGTAAGGAAGAGCAACTGTGCAGCTGTTTGTCAGACAGAGGGCTTTCATGCCGGCCATTGCCGGGGCATCCGCCGCCGTTGCTTCTGCACCAAACACTGTTAAAATCCAATGTGATCCAGTCTTTTCTTGGATTGATCCTGCGTATAACATCGGAGCTTAGTGCATCAGGCTACCGTTTATTATTTTTTCTAGAGTGTTTCTGAGGAATGATGTGTTCCTTTCTTTTCGTTGTCATAAAATACGAAAAAAACCTCAAGTATACTCAGGAACTGATCTTTCTGATTCTGAAATTTGATGGTTTTTTGTGTGTGAATTGTTATAAGCCATTTTTGTTGGAAATGTTTGTCCATATCGTAAAGTAACTTTTTTAAGATCTCCTGTTTGGTTTAACAACTAGAGAACTCGAAAATCATAAAATTTAATTAAGAATAGAAGGATCTTATCCATCCCACCATAGTACTTGCCTATTTGGTGGTTCGTGCTATAATTCACAAAATCTACTCATAATTTATGGAGGTTTGTGTGATGACCCAATAGGTCATCTTATATTTTAGAACCAAACTCTGTGTTTCGAAACCTTTAGAACCTCATTCTAGTCTTTCTCGATTTGCGTGCGCAATCAGGGTATTGACCCGGAAGGCTTATATGTTAAAACTGATAAAAATAAGAAATTTTGCGTTAAAAGTTAATTTTAGTTAATTTCGATCAACGTTTTGAGAAAACGAACCTGGATCTGTGTTTTGACGGTGCTGGTGGTTCCGTATCGAAATATGGGAGCTGGGCGTATGCCCGTAATCAAATTTCGAGGTCCCTAGCTCAAGATATGGAATTTTGATGAAAAATTAAAAGTTTGAAAGATTAATGATTTTAAGAATTTATTTATATTGATCTTGTTGATACTGGGTCCGTAATTCGGTTCCGGAGCCCGGTATAGGTCCACTATATTATTTATGACTTGTCTGTGAAATTTGGTGAGAAAGAACTAGTTTGACGTGATTCGGATGTCTGGTTGAGAAAATAGAAGTTTTAAAGCTTTCTTGAAAATTTCATTCAATTTGGTGCTAAATTCGTAGTTCTAGGTGTTATTTTGGGGTCTTGATAGCGTGAGCAAGTTCGTATGATGTTTTAGCACTTGTGTGCATGTTTGGTTTGGAACTCCGAGGGCCCGGGTGAGTTTCGGATAGGCTACGGGATGTTTTGGACTTAGAAAATCTGGCTTTTCTGCTGTTTCAGGTGCCTTCTGGTTTCCTTCTTCGCGTTCGCAAAGGCATTCTCGCGAACGCGAAGTAGAAACTGAGAGGGTTGGGTTTTTTCTCTTCGTGAACGTGAAGGCTTTGTCGCGAACGCGGAGCGATGGGGGCCTTACACTTCGTGAACGCGACCAACTCAACGCGAACGCGAAACATATGGGACCTGGGGGAGGGGTCAGTTATCCTTCTATGTGAACACGAGCATTGGCTCGCGAACGCGAAGGCCAGGGGGGAGTAGCCTTCGCGAACGCGGATGAGAACTCGCGAACGTGGATGAGTACTCGCGGACACGGAAGCCACTCGGGCTGTTGTTCATCGCGAACGTGGCAGGCCCTTCGCGAACGCGAAGAAAACCTGACGCCTGTGACTTAAAACAGAACAGTAGCGGGATTTTTCCCAAAATTTCATAACCCTTCCATTAGAACTCGGCATAAGAGCGATTTTGAAGGAAAAACTCAACACCAAATCATTGGTTTGTACTCTTTAACTCATTTTCTCCCATTTCTAAGATCACCGATTAAATTCCTAGCCCTAATCTTTGTTCTTTCATGGTAGAAAACTAGGGATTTAGGAAGAGTTGAGAGTTTTTGCAAATTGGGGATTTAGACCTCGAATTGAGCTCAGATTCCAAAACTAATTATATATTCGGGCTCGGGGGTGAATAGGTAAATGGATTTTGGTCCGAACCTCGAGTTTTGACCAAGCGGACCCGGGGTTGATTTTTAACTTTTTGGGGGAAAGTTTGAGAAATCTAAATTTATGCATTGTAGTTGATTCCTTTAGCAATAATTTGAGGCAGAGAAGGTGGTTAGAGACCTCTTTCATGGGATGTTCAGGCTTTGGCCAATCAATTCGTGAGGTTGGATGTTTCTGAGCCCAGCCGTGTTCTAGCTTGTACAGTTGCTCGGTCTTCTTTGTTTGAGCGCATCAGAGATCGGCAGTATGACGACCCTCATTTGCTTGTCCTTAGAGACACGATGCAGCACGGTGGTACCAAGCAGGTTACTGTTGGAGATGATGGAGTTTTGAGGATGCATGGCCGTATTTGTATGCCTAATGTGGACGGGCTTTGTGAGGTGATTCTTGAGGAGGCCCACAGTTCCCGGTATTCCATTCATTCGGGCGCCGCCAAAATGTATTAGGATTTGCGGCAGCATTATTGGTGGAGAAGAATGAAGAAAGATATAGTTGCATATGTGTCTCGGTGTCTAAATTGTCAGCAGGTAAAGTGTGAGCATCAGAGACCAGGTGGTTTGCTTCAAAAGTTGGAGATTCCTGAGTGGAAGTTGGAGCGTGTCACTATGGATTTCGTTGTTGGACTTCCACAGACTTAGAAGAAGTGCGATGCAGTGTGGGTCATTGTGGACAGGCTGACCAAGTCAGTGCATTCTATTCCTGTGGCAGTTACCTATTCTTCAGAGCGGTTGGGAGAGATTTATATCCGTGAGATCGTCCGTTTTCACGGTGTGCCCGTGTCTATCATCTTTGATCGAGGTACGCAGTTCACCTCGTACTTCTGGAGGGTAGTACAGCGTGAGTTGGGTACACGGGTTGAGTTCAGCACATCATTTCATCCTTAGACGGACAGACAGTCCTAGCGTACTATTCAGATCTTGGAGGATATGCTCCGCGCATGTGTTATAGACTTTGGAGAATCGTGGGATCAGCTCTTGTCCCTTGCAGAGTTCTCCTACAAGAACAGTTATCAGTCGAGCATTCAGATGGCTCCCTATGAGGCATTGTATGGTAGGCGGTGCCGATTGCCAATTGGATGGTTTGAGCCGGGGGATGCTCGGTTGTTGGGTACAGATTTAGTACAGGATGCCTTGGATAAGGTTAAGATTATTCATGATCGACTTCTTATAGCTCAGTCCAGGCAGAAGAGTTATGCCGACCGTAGAGTACGTGATGTTGCATTCATGGTCGGAGAGAGGGTGTTGCTCCGGGTATCACCCATGAAGGGTGTAATGAGGTTTGGAAAGAAGGGCAAGTTGAACCCTAGGTATATCTAGCCTTTTGAGATCCTTGCGTGAGTGAGAGAGGTGGCCTACAGACTTGCGTTGCCACCTGGTTTATCAGCAGTTCATCCGGTATTTCATGTGTCCATGCTCCGGAAGTATCACGGCGATCCATCCCACGTGTTAGATTTCAGCACAGTCCAGTTGGACAAGGATTAGACCTACGAGGAGGATCCGGTAGCTATTCTAGACCGGTAGGTTCGTCAGTTGAGGTTGAAAAGTTATCCTACAGTTCGAGTGCAGTAGAGAGGTCAGCCTATTGAAGCAGCTACCTAGGAGTTCGAGTCCGATATGTGGAGTAGATATCCCCACCTTTTCACCAGCTCAGGTACTTTTCTATGTCCGTTCGAGGACGAACGGTTATTTTAGAGGTGGAGAATGTGATAATCCAATAGGTTATCTTATGTTTTAGAACCAAACTCTGTGTTTCGAAGCCTTTAGAACCTCATTCTAGCCTTCCTCGATTTGCGTGCGCAGTCCAGGTATTAACCCGGAAGGCTTATATGTTAAAAACTGATAAAAGTAAGAATTTTTGCCTTAAAAGTTAATTTTAGTTTACTTAGGTCAACTTTTTGAGAAAACGAGCCCGGATCCGTGTTTTGACAGTGCCGGTGGGTTCGTATCGAAATATGGGACCTGGGCGTATGTTCGGAGTTGAATTTCGAGGTCCCTAGCTCGAGATATGGAATTTTGATGAAAAATTAAAGGTTTGAAACATTAATGATTTTAAGAATTTATTTATATTTGATCTTGTTGATACCGGGTCCGTATTTTGGTTACGGAGCCCGGTACAGGTCCACTATATTATTTATGCCTTGTCAGTGCAATTTGGTGAGAAACGGAATTACTTTGACGTGATTCGGACGTCCGATTGAGAAAATAGAGTTTTAAAGTTTTCTTGAAAACTTCATTCAATTTGGTGCTAAATTCGTAGTTTAGGTGTTATTTGGCGATTTGATAGCGTGAGCAAGTCGTATGATGTTTTAGGACTTGTGTGCATATTTGGTTTGGAGTCCCGAGGGCTCGGGTGAGTTTCGGATAGGCTACGAGATGTTTTGGACTTAGAAAATCTGGTTTTTTCTGCTGTTTCAGGTGCCTTCGGGTTTCCTTCTTCGCGTTCGCGAAGGCATTCTCGCGAATGCGAACTAGAAACTGGGAGAGCTGGGTTTTTCTTCTTTGCGAACGTGAAGGCTTGGTCACAAATGCGGAGCGATGAAGGCCTTACCCTTCACAAACGCGACCAGCTCAACGCGAATGCGGGAGGGGTCAGTTATCCTTCTATGCGAACGCGGGCATTGGCTCGTGGACGCGAAGTCCAGGGGGAGCAGCCTTCGCGAACGCGGATGAGGACTTGCGAACACGAATGAGGACTCGTGAACGCAAAAGCCACTTGGGCTGTTGCTCATCGCGGAGCGCGAAGAAGGCCTGACACCTATGAATTTGATAGGTTTTCAATGTCTTTGCCTTATGTTTTGATGATCTAACAAACTTACTGTCAAGAACCAGATAGAGAACCTGACACACTTGGTACACATTACAAATGAACGGATTCCAGCCAGGACTCCAGCTAATGTGAACTGTTGCAAGTGTAGAAAATAGAGAAACAAGACAAGGACTTGATCCCTTGTGTTTCCCTGACAGCAGTACGAAAGTCAACTATGCACAGCTGGAAAGTGACTGCCACAGAAACGGTGCACACAGTGAAGCAGTTTTGCAGTCACTTACCTTTGACCTACCAAATGCTTACATCATTAAAGTGATGTCACCAAGAGTGTATCAACTAGAGCATTATAACAAAACATCACTTTAACACTTGATTTTCACTTCAAGCATTCAAGCCTTCTGCAAATAGCGAACTCAATTCTCAAGAGCTTGAAGAACAAAGTTAAACACTACTACGGACCAGTTCCTAAATCGAATATTTTGTTGTCCTTAGTTGAGTTGTAACTTTGTGATTGTTCTTATTGTAATTCCTAAATTGCTTAGTTAGAAGTGTTGCTTAGGAACCCATTGGTAAAACCATAAACTTTCTGAGTTTGTGTTATGACTAGAGTAAGTCATAAGTTAAAGTCTTTGTAACTAGTGAGTGACAAAGTGGCTTGTGG